CATTTTTTTCCTTTTTTGCAACCTACTCCTACTCTGAGTTTGTAAAGATACTTCTTTTCTGATTTTCTGCAGTTTGAGCAGCGAAGGTTCACAATTGCTTTCTGCATCACCTTCGGCACTCAGTGGGATTGGACAGTCTTTCTTTCGAATTCTGCATCACCTTAGGAAACTGTTCAATTTTGGATCTGTCCGATCCTTCCCACCTGTCCGCTGCCTACCTGTTCCTCCCCCCCCGTCCGGGTACCGGGCCAGTCCATCAGATTGGCCCTCGGGGGACTCTTCAGACTTCGGGCACAGTAGTGCATGACACTGCTCACTCGATCACAGACCAAGGCCATGGACCGGAAGGCGGGAGAATCCCTCCTGGCCTATGAGGAACGCCTGGCGGCATTCATTCAGGAGGCCAACGATAGGGTTGCCGCCGCGGCCAAGGAACGTAATCGGCTTGAACAAGAGGAGGAGGCCAAGCGACAGAAGGAGGAACAGGACCGACTTCGTCAAGAAGAGGCAGACCTGCAAGCGGCAGCTGAACACCGGTCACGCCAGAGGGAACGATTGTTCACGCGGGCGACCGTGATCGGCGATGAGGCCGCACATTGGGTGGAAGAGGCATTTGCAGACGGGGCCCCAAAGACTGACAAAGGGCTGTCAGCCCTTGCGCAGGTCTCCCACGACCTTGTGGCCACCTGCGCTCTGCAGCAGGAGGAAATCCTTCACCTGCAGCAGACAGTGGACCAGATGCTCGCACAGCTGCAGGCGGTGGAGAAACAGCCAGCTGCGGTAGCAGCCGCAGGGCCTTCCAACCTTACCACCCATGTGCAAGTTTTGGAGGATGACGTCAGCAACATCAAGGGTGTGCATCAGGACTTCCGGACGTCGCCGCAAGCAACGAACTCGCAGTTGGAGACGGAGGTCCAGGCTGCTGCCACCGTGACGCCCGCCGCCGCATCCTCCCGGCGCCCACCCAAACTGGATGACATTCTAGTTTTCTGCGATCAGTCCAAGACGGAACCGATCCCGTGGTGGCGCCAGTTTACTCTCAGGCTCGACACGCACCATGTCCCGAACAACGATCGACATCCGTGCTTGTACCACCGATCTGGTGGTGCGTGTCAAGCATGGCTGGACAACATCTTGACCAGCCACGGCGTAGCAGTGTCGGAACTGCACACCAAGCTCACTTGGCAGGAGTTGACCGACGCCTGGCACAAGCGATTCCAAGTGGAGCCGCCCGACCTGCAAGCGATGGACAAGCTCAACAAGCTCCATCAGAACACGCTGCTCAGTCAGGACTGGATTACCGAGTTCCAAAGACTCGCCTCCACACCTGACCTGCCGCTCGCATTCCGCGCCATCAAGCACTTGTTTATCATGCGCTCGTGTCCAGCTCTGCAAAACGGGCCGACGCAGATTGCAGAGACACTCGACACATTTGACAAGCTTTTCAGCACAGCGTCACGGATCATCCTCACGAATATCGAAGCCCCCAACGCCGGCCGATCTTCCGCGACGACGAGCGGCACCCAGCCCAAGCCAAAGGTGGCTTGCATTACTTCTACCGAGGCTGCAACACCAAACGAGGGTGAAGTGTTGGCAGCTGCCCGGGATGGTGGCCGGCCGCGCAACAATCACGGCCGCGACAAGACGAAGACTCAGTCCACCTCTACACCGAGCACCGGATCAGCCGCCGACGAACCTTGGGCACAATACGGACTCTCGGCGAATTCTTATCGCACGAGACTCAAGTACCGTTACTGCCTTTGGTGCAACAGCACCATCCACGATGCTGCACATTGCCCCACCAAGGGCAAACCCCGTGAGGGAAAGTAGGCGCCGCCGAGGGTGACTCGACACCTCCCTCGACGCCATCGGAAGCGGTTGTGCGCACGACCGCCCTTTCTTCCGAGGCATATGCGGAT